TCTCTGTGTGTCTCTGTGTGTCTCTGTGTGTGTCTCTGTGTGTCTCTCTGTGTGTCTCTCTGTGTGTGTTTCTGTGTGTCTGTGTGTGTGTGTGGAACCCACGGCAATTGGACTCATCAGAACCGTCCCTGCAGTCCGGCTCTCCATCACACTCGGGGTTCTGTTTGCTGACGCAGCGTCCGTCGCTGCAGCGGAACGTGAACTTGGAGCAGCTCAGCAGCAGAGCTGTAAACAAACAAACAAACAAACAGTGAACACAACAGACCCAGTCCGGTCTGGCTCAGTGCCAGCGTCTCCTCGCTCTCAGAAGGAGGTGGACCTGATGCATCATGGGAAGTGTAGGACAGAGAGGCTGTGAACTTTGACCCGTTGAGTCCTCACAGCTCAGGACAGAACTACCGTACAGTAAATGTTCCTACATTTTGGACACTTGGACTCGTCCGACCCGTCCCCGCAGTCGTCGTGTCCGTCACACGTCAACTGCTCTGAGACGCAGCGCCCGTTCCTGCAGGAGAACTCTGCAGCTGCACACGTTCCTGCAGACAGGAAACAGAACTTTTAACCCACTGGCACCACAGGAAGTAGGACTGATCAGAACCGCCAGAACTCACCACACTTGTCTTCATCTGTGTTGTCCCCGCAGTCGTCCACGCCATCGCACTGCCAGAACCAGGGCTTGCAGTGACCGTTCCTACACTGCATCTGGGACGCCTCGCACCCTGAGGCAGAGAACCAGCAATTAGTCAGGACGGACTCTGTCCTCTCACCAGCATGTAGGATGGACCTGGACAGACTGGGGGGGGGGGGGGGACTCACGGCAGTTGTCCTCATCACTGTCGTCCCCGCAGTCGTTCCAGCCATCGCAGTGCAGAGAGGCGTTGATACATATGTTGTTCCTGCAGCGGAACCGCCCGGGACAAGCTGGGGGACAATAGGACACACTGAGCACCTGAAGACAAGCCGTTTTCTTCAGAGACATCTTAGGGATGAGGACAGACTCTTACGGTTGGACGGGACGAAACCTTCGTACACGGCGGTGAAGCCCTGGTGGACGATGGACGAGTCCGAGACAAACCAGATGGACATCTTGCTGCTCTGGCTGGTGAAGACGGTGTCCTTTAAGTCGCCGCCACACAACCTACAGCAGACAGAACAGAGACAGGAGGACATCAGGACCAAAGACAAGTCAACACCAAGCTGTGGACCAGTTCTTTGGTGGGTTCAAACAGAACCCTTAACTGGTGCTGATAACAAGGACGAACAGTAAAACTGTCCTCTTTGCTCCAGGACGGGGGACATGTAACTCTTCCAGATCTCAGAGCTCAGATGAAAGAAAACAACTTCACTGTAAAACACCATTATGTTTTTTTAATTCATCAAAGAAACAGAATAAAGTCCAGTTTCCTCACCTTTTACTGTCGACCTCAACGTAATCCCCGACACATTTCTGACTGTCGTTCCCCACGGAGAACCTCTTGAACTGAACCTTCACAAACTTTTCCTCTGAAACCTGAAGAACAACATGAAGTTATGAGAGATGATCGCTGGGACTCAGACCCACGAACAGCTGCTTCTACAGCTCTTCTAAGACAGCGGGAGACATGGCACAAAATGTCCAAGTCAGTTCATCACTTCCTGCGTTTAATGCAAACAATAACACAGGGGATGCTGTTACAAGGGGGCGGGGCCTACAGGTGCACTTTCACCTGTCCCCAGTTGTACACCAAGGAGCATTTCATACTTCCAACAGGTGAGTCAGAGAACTGGCTGCACCTGTCTGAAGTAAAGATGGGCAGAGGTTCAGCAGGCTGTCAGAAACTGTCTAGTGGAACACTTTCAAAATAAAGTCCCTGGAACTCTTTCAGAATAAAGTTCCTGGAAATCCTTCAGAATAAAGTTCCTAACTAAAGACTTAAATCTCCATCATCTGCAGTTTATAATCTGATCAACAGATTAGAAGAATCTAAAGAAATCGCTCAAAATAACCCAAACTGAACTGTTTACATTTGTTCATTTGAAATACATTTAAAATATCTCAATAAATCAACATAATCCATCCATCCATTATCTTTACCCACTTCTTCCATTTTGGGTCACAGGGGTCGCCGGTACCCATGTCCAGCAATCACTGTACAAGGGGCGGGGAACACCCTGGACAGGTCCATCACAGGGCCACATGGAGACAAATGAGAGAAACAACCATTCACTCTCTCACTCACACCTAGGGACAATTTAGAGTTAGAAATCAGTCTAACATGCATGTTTTTGGTCTGTGGGAGGAAACCGGAGTACCCGGAGAAAACCCATGCATGCACGGAGAGAACATGCAAACTCCTCCCAGAAAGGTCCCCAGACTTGAACCGGCAGCAGCCCGGACGTGGGTCACCGGGGCCCCACTCTGGAGCCGGGCCTGGAGGTGGGGCACGCTGGTGAGTGCCTGGTAGCTGGGCTTTTACCCATGGAGCTCGGCCGGGCACAGCCCGAAGAGGAGACATGGGTCCCCCTTCCTATGGGCTTACCACCAGTGAGAGGGGCCAAAGGGGTCAGGTACAATGTGGGATGGGTGGTGGCCGAGGGCGGGGACCTTGCCAGTCTGATCCTCAGCTACAGAAGCTGGCTATTGGGATGTGGAATGTCACCTCTCTGGTGGGGAAGGAGCCTGAGCTGGTGTATGAGGTTTGAGAGGTTCCGGCTAGAAATAGTCGGACTCACCTGGACGCATGGCTCTAGATCTGGAACCAGTTTCCTTGAGAGGGGTTGGACACTCTTCCACTCTGGAGTTGCTCCTGGTGAGAGGCGCCAAGAAGGAATGGGCATACTTGTTGCCCCCCATCTTGGTGCCTGTATGTTGGGGCTCACCCTGGTTAATGAGAGGGTAGCCTCCCTCCGTCTATGTGTGGGGGGACGGGTTCTGACTGTCGTTTGTGCTTATGCGCCAAACAGCAGTTCAGATTACCCACCCTTTTTGTAGTCCTTGGAGGGGGTACTGGAGAGTGCACCTCCTGGGGACTCCCTTGTTCTGCTGGTGGACTTCAATGCTAATGTGGGCAATGACAGTGAGACCTGGAGGAATGGTGCCCCTGATCTGAACCCGAGTGGTGTTCTGTTGTTGGACTTCTGTGCTCGTCATGGATTGTCCATAACAAACACCATGTTCAAGCATAAGGGTGTCCATATGTGCTCTTGGCACCAGGAGAACCTAGGCCGCAGTTCGATGATCAACTTCGTTGTCATCTCATCTGATCTGCGGCCACATGTCTTGGACACTCGGGTGAAGAGAGGGGTGGAGCTGTCCACTGACCACTACCTGGTGGGGAGTTGGCTCCGATGGTGGGGGAGGATGCCGGTCAGACCTGATAGGCCCAAATGTATTGTGAGGGTTTGCTGGGAACGTCTGGCAGAGTCTCCTGTGAGACGGAGCTTTAACTCCCACCTTCGGGAGAATTTCGAACATGTTCCAGGGGAGGAAGTGGACATTGAGTCCAAGTGGGCCATGTTTCGTGCCTCTATTGTCGAGGCAGCTTATCGGAGTTGTGGCCGCAAGGTTGTCGGTGCCTGTCACGGCGGCAACCCTCGAATCCGGTGGTGGACATCGGTGGTGAAGGATGCTGTCAGGCTGAAGAAAGAGTCCTATCAGGCCTTTTTGACCTGTGGGACCCTGGAAGCAGCTGATGGGTACCGGCAGTCCAAGCGACATGCGGCTCGAGTGGTCACTGAGGCAAAAACTCAGGCATGGGAGGAGTTCGGAGAGGCCATGGAGAATGACATCCGCATGGCTTCGAGTGATTCTGGTCCACCATCCGGCAGGGAAAGCGGTACACCACCAGCACTGTTTATAGTGGGGTGGCGTGCTGCTGACTTCAACTCGGTATGTTGTGGTTTCGGTGGGCAGAATACTTTGAAGACCTCCTCAGTCCCACTGGCATGTCTTCCACTGAGGAAGCGGAGCCTGGGGACTTTGGGTCGGACTGTCCAATCTCTGGTGCTAAGGTCACCAAGGTGGTTAAAAAGTTCCTTGGTGGCAGGGCCCCAAGGGTGGATGAGATTTGCCCGGAGTTCCTTAAGGCTCTGGATGTTGTAAGGTTGTGTTGGCTTACACGACTCTGCAACATTGCGTGGATATCGGGGGATGTTCCCCTGGATTGGCAGACCGGGGTGGTGGTCCCCCTATTCAAAAAGGGGGACCGTAGAGTGTGTTCCAACTACAAGAGGATCACGCTCTTAAGCCTCCCTGGTAAGGTCTATTCGGGACTTCTGGAGAGGAGGGTCCGTCGGATAGTCGAACCTCAGATTCAGGAGAAACAATGCGGTTTTTGTCCTGGTCATGGAACATTGGACCAGCTCTACACCCTCAGCAGGGTCCTGAAAGGTGTGTGGGAGTTTGCCCAACCAGTCTACATGTGCTTTGTAGACTTGGAGAAGGCATTTGACCACGTCCCTCGGGGAACCCTGTGGGGGGTACACTGGGAGTATGGGGTACCAGGCCCTTTGATACGGGCTGTTAGGTCCCTGTATGACCAGTGTCAGAGCTTGGTCCGCATTGCCGGCAGTAAATCAGGTTAATTCCCGGTGAGAGTTGGACTCCGCCAAGGTTGCCCTTTGTCACCGACTCTGTTCATAACTTTTATGGACAGAATATATAGGCACAGCCAAGGTGTTGAGGGGGTCAGTTTTGGTGGCCTTAGGATCGCATCTTTGCTTTTTGCAGATGATGTGGTCCTATTGAATAATCACTGTGAAAAACCATATCATGTTGCTGCTGATCTGTTTCATGTTGCTGCTGATCTGTTTCAATGTTGATGTGTTCATGCATGCACATCTGCTCACAGACTCATGTTCATGTTTGTGCTGATGTTCAATGTTTTATGTTATGAGTGCTTAGTGTATATTTAGTAGATGTTTTTCTTAGTTCATATCTTAGATGTTATTACTGTTTTTCTTATATATTTTATTGTTGGATGTAACTGGGACCTTGTGTACATAATTTCGCTCCACTACATATACCACATGAGGTGCGAATGACAATAAAGAAACTCTGACTCTGACTCTCTGACTATTGGCTTCATCAGGTCGTGATCTACATCTTTCGCTGGAGCGGTTTGCAGCCAAGTGTGAAGCAGCCAGGATGATGATCAGTTCCTCCAAATCTGAGGCCATGGTCTTGAGCTGGAAAAGGGTAGAGTGCCCTCTCCGGGTTGGAAAGGAGGTCCTGCCCCAAGTGGAGGAGTTCAAGTATCTTGGGATCTTGTTCACGAATGAGGGAAAAATGAAGCGAGAGATCAATAGGCGGATAGTTGCAGCGTCTGCAGTGAAGTGGGCACTGTACAGGTCTGTCGTGGTGAAGAGAGAGCTGAGTCAAAAGGCGAGGCTCTCAATTTACCGATCGATCTACGTTCCTACCCTCATCTATGGTCATGAGTTTTGGGTTGTGACAGAAAGAACGAGATCTCGGATACAAGTGGCTGAAATGAGTTTTCTCCGCAGGGTGTCTGGGCTCTCCCTTAGAGATAGGGTGAGAAGCTCGGTCATCCGGGAGAGACTCAAGAGTAGAGCCGCTGCTTCTCCACGTCGAGAGGAGCCAGTTGAGGTGGCTCGGGCATCTGCTTAGGATGCCTCCTGGACACCTCCCTGGTGAGGTGTTCCGGACACGTCCCACTGGGAGGAGACCCAGAGAAAGATCCAGGACACGCTGGAGAGACTATCTTTCTCGGCTGGCCTGAGAACGCCTCGGGATTCCCCCGGAGGAGCTGGCACAATTGACTGCGGAGAGGGAAGTATGAGCCTCCCTACTTAAACTGCTACCCCCGCGACCCGACCCCAGATAAGCGGAAGAAAATGGATGGATGGATGGTTTGAACTTGTTTGGATTTGATCACGTTTGTTTACGCTCGCTGTTTTCTCTTCTGAAGTTTGTGAAGAGCTGTAGGAACATCCCACCAAAACCCTTTGGACCCATCTCCATTACTGAACCAGATTCTGTTGGTTTTGTTTCAGAACAGGCCAGGCATCGGACGTACCTGGATGATCCACTGGCACCGGCTCTGAGGGGGGTAGTTGGATGGGAAGAAGGGTGAAGAGAAGGAGCCTTCATCTTCCGTGAGTCTTCCTCCACATTCTGGAGAGAAAGGTCAGAGTTTAGGTGAAGGTGTGAAATCCTCTGATCCACCAAACACTTTGAGTCATTTAAAGCATTTTTAAAGTTGACTAAAACAAAAACATTCAAGTTGGACAATAAAAACCGTTCCTGGTTCAGTTTCAGGACTTTCATCAGAATCCATTTCAGGGTTCAGACTAAAACCATCAGCAGGAACTGCTGAAGGTCCAGAATTAAAGTCCAACATCTGATCCAAACCTGCAACATTTGTTTAGACAAATAAAACATTTCACTTTTTAAATGATTATCTTCTTGGGAGTCCTTGGCAGGGAAGCTGGAAGGTGCACCAGCTGGGGACTTCATTATTCTGCTGGTGGACTTCAATGCCCATGTGGGTAACGACAGTGTGACCTAGAGGGGCGTGATTGGGAGGAATGACCTCTCTTATCTGAACCCGAGCGGTGTTCTACTGTTGGACTTCTGTGCTAGTTATAGTTTGTCCACCACAAACACCATGTTCGAACATAAGGGTGTGCATAAGTGCACTTGGCAACAGGACGTCCTAGGTCGTAGATCGATGATTGACTTCATAGTCGTGTCATCTGATTTGCGGCCGTTCGTTTTTGACACTCGGGTGAAGAGAGGAGCTGAGCTGTCAACTGATCACCACCTGGTAGTGAATTGGATCAGATGATGGGGCAAAATGCCGGACAGACCCGGTACACCCAAATGTGTAGTGAGGGTTTGCTTGGAACGCTTGACAGAAGAACCCATCAGAAAGATCTTCAACTCACACCTCCGGGAGAGCTTTAACCACATCCCAGCTGAGGTGGAGGACATTGAATCAGAGTGGGTCATGTGCCTCAATTGTTGAGGTAGCTGCCTTGAGCTGTAGCTGCAAGGTTGTCTGTGCTTCTTGCGGTGGCCATCCTCAAACTCGGTGGTGGACATGCCAGGTTAGGGAGGCTGTCAAGATGAAGGAGTCCTATTGGTCCTTGTTGGCTGGTGGGACTCCAGAGGCAGCTGAGAAGTACAGGAGGTCCAAGTGGTCCATAGGCTTGGCTGTTGTTGAGGCAAAAGCTCAGATGTGGGAGGATTTTGGTGAGACCTTGAATAAAGACTCTCGGTCGGCTCCAAGGAGATTCTGGCAAACCATCAGACAGTTGAGGAGGGAAAACGTGATTTACTAACACTGTGTTCAGTGAAGGTGGGGTGCTGTTGACCTCAACAAGCGATGTCATCAGGTGGAAGGAATACTTCTTGGACCTTCTCTATTCCACTAGCACATTTTCCATGGAAGAATCTGAGTCAAGAGACTTCAGGGTTGGTCTGTCCATAACTGTGGCTGAGGTTGCCTAGGTAGTTAAAAAGCTCCAAGGCTGCAGGGCTCCAGGGCTAGACGAGATCTACCCTGATTTCCTTCAGGCTCTGGATGTTGTGGGGCTGTCTTGGTTGACATGTTTTTGCAACAACACATTGACATTGGGGACAGTGCCACTGGATTGGCAGACTGGGGTGGTGGTTCCCCTCTTCAAAAAGGGGGACTGGAGGGTGTGCTCCAGTTACAGGTAGCATCACTCTCCTTATCCTCCCTGGTAAGGTCTATTCAGGGATACTGGAGAAGCGAGTTCAATCGTTGGTCGAACCTCCGATCCAGGAGGAACAATGCAGGTTCTGTCCTGGCTGTGGAACACTGGACCAGCTCTTTACCTTCACTTCACTAGGGTCCTCGAGGGGTCATGGGAGTTTGCCCATCCAGTCTACATGTGTTTTGTGGACTTGGAGAAGGCATTTGACCGTGTTCCTCGGGGTACACTGTTGGGGGTGCTCCGTTAGTATGGGATTGGGGGCTCGTTACTATGGGCTGTTCGGTCCCTATACAAGCTTTGTGAGAGTTTGGTTCACATTGCCGGAAGTAAGTCAGATGCCTTCAGGGTGGGAGTTGGACTCCGCCAGGGCTGCCCGTTATCACAAATCTGTTCATAACTATTATGGACAGAATTTCTCGGTGCAGCCAGTGGGTGGAGGGTTTCCGGTTCAGTGGCCTCAGGATTACATCTCTGCTCTTTGCAGATGATGTGGTCCTGTTGGCGTCATTGTGCCGTGATCTTCAGCTCTCACTGGAGCGGTTCACAGCCGAGTGTGAAGTGGGTAGGATGAGAATCAGCACCTCCAAATCTGAGGACATGGTCCTCAACTGGAAAAGGGTGGATTGTTCTCTTCAGGTCAAGGGTGAGGTTCTGCCTGAAGTGGAGTTCAAGTATCTCTGGGTTTTGTTCACGAGTGAGGGAAGAATGGAGCATGAGATTCGCAGATGGATTGGTGCAGCGTCTGCAGTATTGCAGACTCTGTACCGGTCTGTTGTGGTGAAGAGGGAGCTGAGCTGAAAGGCAAAGCTCTCTGTTTATTGGTTGGCCTACGTTCCTCCCCTCACCTCTGGTCATGAGCTCTGGGTAGTGACTGAAAGAATGAGATTGTGGATACAGGAGGTTGAAATGAGTTTCCTCTGCAGGGTAGCTGGACTCTCCCTTAGAGACAGGGTGAGGAGTTCAGTTATCAGGAGAGACTCGAAGTAGAACTGCTGCTCCTCCACATCCAGAGGAGCCAGTTGAGGTGGTTCAGGCGTCTGGTAAGGATGCTCCCTAGGCGCCCAGTTGCTGGACTAGGTGATGGGCCTCCCAGCTCAAACTGACGCAATTTCAGAACAAGAGGAAGATAATGGATGGAAATGATTATCTTTAAATTTTCCATTTTTTACATCTTTAAATGTCAAAAACCACAAACATCCAAACAAGACTGAAAGAGATGAATAAAAGGAGAACCCAGCAGGACCCAGGAGGACCCAGCAGGACCTAGCAGGACCCAGCAGAACCCACCAGGACCTAGCAGGACACAGGAGGACTCTGGGCTTGTCTCCTCGTACCTTCTCCAGGTTGGACAGGAACCTGGGAGTAGGCGGCCCTGAAGCCGGGGAAGTTTTTCTCGTCATCGGTGAGCAGTGTCAGCAGCATGACATTCCCAGAGGACAGGAAGGACAGCGAGCCCCGGGGGTACCCACACTGTCTGCAGAGGGACAGAGACAGACGGAGACATGTGACATGATCTGGGACATGGTGGTCCAGAGGGTTTCAATAAAAGCAAGTGGACTTGTCTCATCTGAACGTGTTCTGAAGAAGAAGAGGACAAGTTGTCTTCTGCTGCACCAAAAAAAAAAAAAAAAAAAAAGTTCCACGGAATATTTACAGATTTATGAAAATAAATTAAATATTGAAGGTCAGACTTTGAGGAAATCTAAAACTAATAATTAATAAAAATAACTGAGATTAAAGTGAGACAAGTAAGGACAGATACAGACATGCAAGGACATATATGGACATGTAGGGACAGATAAGGACATGCAGGGACAGAAAAGATATCTAGGACATCTAGACCGCATCTAGACATCTTTAAGGGCCTTCTCCTACTCCGCTCCTGTTTCCTGGAATATCTTACAAAAAGATTTGAAGCTCTCGACCTTTGACCTCTCTAAGTGGCTTTAAGAATCTGTTGGACACCTGGCAGGGTCCAATGCTGACATGTTCCTGTTTTTAGTTTTCTACATTTGTCTTGGAATCTAGTTGTTTTTTGTTTTGTTACCTTTTCCTTTTAGCCATCCTATTAGTTAAAAAAAAAAAAAAACTGTAGTATGCTTTTTTATAACTGTTTATTGTTGTCTTGTTGTCCATTGTTGTCATCTTTCTTTGTTGAAATCAGGTCTCTCTTGTAAATGAGTCCTCGAGGCTCAATGGGATTTACCTGTAGAAATAAAGGTTGATTGATAGGGACAGAAAAGACAAACCAGCTACTAGGGAGCACAAGCCAGTGTATCACTTGTGCCGGTTGCAAGCCCAGGTAAATGGTGAGGGTTGTGTCAGGAATGGCATCCGATGTAAAAAAAACTGTTTTACCATGGTGTGGATAGAAAGAGAGAAGGAGTAGGGGGGGGTCCTGAAGGAGGAGTTGACAAATAATGCAGGAACAGATAAGGACATGTAGGGACAAATAAGGACTTGCAAGGACCGATAAGGACATGCAAGGACCGATAAGGACAAGCAGGGACAGATAAGGACATGCAATGACAGATAATGACATGCAGGGACAGATAAGGACATGCAGTGACAGATACAGACTTGCAAGAACGGATAAGGACATGCAGGGACAGATAAGGACAACCAGGGACAGATAAGGACATGCAGGGACAAATAAGGACTTGCAAGGACAGATAAGGACATGCAGGGACAGACAAGGACATGCAGGGACAAA